ATATTTCAGACAGTTCATTCAAACAATAAATTCATAAGGCATTAATTCATTTTATTTAGACAAAATGCAATTTTTGCAAACGTTTAAATCAAAACCCTATATCTGCCTATTTCTCAACATTACATTTTTGGACCAAATCCTCATTTCGATGTAACGGGTCACRAAGATTTTAATATGACAAGTCAGTGGGGTCAAAGTTTGATTCACATCTTTAAACTTTAAAATTATTTGAAAACTAGAACTCCAATTCTTGTTTTTGACTAAAGTAGCCTCAGGCTCTGTAAGCAACATAATCTGAGTTGTTGTTGTTGTTGTTGTTGTTGTTGTTGTATTGCAGGCTTGTTTCACGCCTTCGATGAAAATCGGGACAATCACATCGACTTTAAAGAGATCTCCTGTGGACTGTCTGCGTGCTGTAGGGGACCCATCGCTGAGAGGCAGAAGTGTAAGACTCTCTGAGGTTTTATCTCTCAGCTTTCACAGAATCAAAGTGTGTTTTTATCACAATAAGCACAGAGGACCTGTAATTTGGATCATAAAGTAATGCTTGAATGTTTAGTGATTGGTTTAAACGGGGATTTCATTTTCTGTTTGAACTTGAAGAGCTGCAGCAGTTCTCTGCCTTGAAGCCATGTTTTCTTTAGACTTTATTTTTTCTTGCCAGTTTGCTTCAAAGTGTTCGACGTGGACCGTGATGGAGTCCTGTCTCGAGATGAACTCCATGATATGGTTGTGGCGCTGCTGGAGGTGTGGAAGGACAATCGTACAGATACAATACCTGTAAGTAACCACATCCATACAAACACATCAGAACTAAGCCTGCAGCAGCAGTCCCATGTGGAGTTACCAGACGTCTCTACTCCAGTGGAAACCAGTCTGTTCATGTTTTCATTGCCAGCAGACTGTACTTTAACCAGCTTTCCTGCCTGCTATCATCTGTAGAGTTTGATGTCCCTCCCACTTTGCTGGAAACATTTACACGTGTGTCAGTAGCTGTGTTTCCATTGTAAATGTGCGTAAGACTTTGTCGATATTTTGTTAATGTCGGAAAAAACACAGTTTCACAACTGCAGTGTTTCCATTAAGTAAGAAATGCTATTAAAGTCACGTGAATACGTTTGTTCTCGTGATAAGTCGTTACAAACATGGCGGGGATGGATGTAAACACATAGCATGTTGCTACCACGACACTAGCGCTCATCATCAGAGGAGACGTCGGCGTCTTTTATCGAGGCTTTCCAGAGACAAGTCCCTACTTGGGAGCGGCTACGTATGCTGTGTTTTTGGGAAATTGTAGTCAGTGAGTTTACTATTTTATACTACTTCTGTGATATTACTACTACTTCTACTTCCTGTTATCTTCTTCGTCATCGTCTTTTTCACCAGTAGAAACAGCCGGTTGTTGATCACGTGACTCCTGTGATGTGAAAAAATGTTTCCATTGCAATTTTGTGAAAAACACCAATTTCGATACGGCCGAAAAACCACCTCATCCTAGCGCAAAAACATTTTGTAGAAAAACKTAACTTTTCTTTCAAAATTGACATGTTTCCAATGAGTGAATTTATTTTCGAAATTCTAATTTGAGCATTTTCATGGTCAATGGAAACACAGCTACTGATCTTTTAATTTGCTTTTCTTTATCTGCTGTTTGCAGCAACTGTGAAATTCTTTGTCCTGATTGTACAGCTTGATATTCAGCAATCATTACAGAGATACAAGTGATTGTGTCTGTATCCTTATTCCTCATGGTCTTGTTGTTAACATAATGTAAAACATGATGTTGATGGGTCTCAGTGCCAGCTGTGGACCACATTACAAAGAACCCACTTGTGTCATGGTTCAGTTGTCTTTTAATTCCTCACTTTGCCTCAGTTAGAAGCTGCATAAAGTCTTTGACTCTTGTATTATTTGACTTTAAATATTTCTTGAATTTCACAGATACAGCACATTTATTAAAATAATTTGCAGTTACAGTTTCCATCCTTTTCACCTCTACTTTTAGTTTCTGAAAAGACTTGTCAAGCTGATCATACAGCATGTTAGAGATAATTATAGCTCAGACTGATGGTATTAAATCTAAATGTAAAGCAGTAGAAGATAGAAATTTATTAGTCGTTTAGATGCAGGTTTTAAAAGCACCACACCATTTCATAGTTATTTTTTTAAATTAAATATGTTTTTATAGTTTAAATTTCTTCAGTACAGTGAAGTGCGCACAGATACTCATGTGGTTTTTGTTTCTTCAAGCTTTAACACCCAGATGTAGGACTGATTCAGTGTTCACGGTTTAAACGGATGTATTGTGCTGGCCTTGCAGGAGCTGCACTGTAGTGTGTCAAACATAGTGGAGGAAATCCTGAAGATGCACGACACAACCAAGGTAAGCTCCTCCTCTGTGGAACCCATCCCTTATGATGTGATGCTTAGCAGCAATGTTTGAGAGAGAAACCATACTTTAGGATAAGGTGGTATTAAAAAGCCTGGGGTGGCATATTAGCATTTTGTTTGTTTGTTTGTTTGTTTGTTTTGTTTATAGACTGTTCAGTGAGGTTTTTGTACTTTTTTAATCACCAAGATACAGCTTATTTGATAATTGATATCAGTTGGTTAACATACTGTATATGTGTA